TTCGTATGGTTTTTTCTGGCGCAAAACGCAAGATTATTTGAACGCGTCATCAGCCAGAACTAAAAACTAGTTATCATCCCCACTTTCCCCAAATCGAAAAAAATTTTCCCAATAACCTTGAGGTTGAACCAATAATTGCCTGAGTTTTCGAGGAGAGCAATTATTCAAGTAGTCGCTAAAATATCCCTCTCTTTCTCTATTCAACAGCTGATTGATTACCCAACAAATCAGTCTTCCTAGAATTTTATTTTTTAAATTTAAGAAAAAAATATGCTGCTTTAAAAAGCAAATCAGCAATTCTGATAGCTCTAAATTCATTTTTCGAGCTGCTTCATTTATCTGGTCATTTTTTATTTTTTGTGGTAACCGCAACAGGAAAAAATTTTATTGAGTATCGAGTAGCAATTATCTTTTGTATGCATTCAATGATTGCTTATTATTCTACGATTTTTATGTTTGTTTCAATTGCTGTTGACAGACTTTTGGGTGTTTTGTTTCCAATTTTGTAAAATTTTTTTATTATCGTAATTCCTAATTTTTTTCGATATTTTCGTAATCCTAATTCGTAATTTACAAAAATTTTGGGCTCTATCTTAGGACATGCGTCCCATGGACTTTTATACGTCCCATTAAAGTATATGCGTCCTATCAGCAAAAAATTCGATTTTACTTGGTGTTGCAAAGTTGAGGTATGGTTCCAAAGAATTTCTTCATGTTCGGGACCTACACCCACTGGGTATGGGACCGTTCCTTACCCTATCTCTCGAAATTTCTGAAAGTTATGCCAATTTTAAAAATTTCAGAAAAACAGTTTTAACTTTCAGAAATTTCGAGGGATAGGGTAGGGAACAGTCCCATACCCAGTGGGCGTAGGTCCCGAACATGAAGAAATGCTTTGGAACCATACCTCAACTTTGCAACAGCAAGAACAGAATACTTTCATGTGACGCATAAAAGTTCATGTGACGCATATCTTAAGATTTGTAATCGTAATTCGTAATTACGACGCATCCATATTTTCAACTATTTATTCCATATTCGATAATTTATTTTGGTTACTTAAAATGTGCCAAAATTATTTAATTTCTACTTTCTACTGTTGGAATGATCTAATTTTTTGGATGTTAGCCCTAAAGCTAACAAATATTTAGAAAGGGCTTGTTTTATTTCGCTAAAAATTTTGTGGCTTAAATTATTTGCACAAACAGGGACACGCCCAAGTAGGGACATATGTCAGGAATGGTCCCAGACCACTCGATTGAGGTATATCTCATTTTTTACATATTATATTTAGTTACCATATCGTTCAACAACGAAAATATATTATGTGTCATATTGCAGCATTAATAGTCTACAATATCCTTATTTTATACAGAATTATAAAATCCGTAATTACCTATCAGGATTGTCCGATTACAGGAACCATTTCTGATTTTATAAATATTATATTATCTTCTGGTGAACAAAACTTCTATTTAATTCAATATAACATTATATTCCCGATAATAATTATTTATATAATTATTGGGGTATTAGCCAAGTTTAGAGCAGGTAACTTTTAAATATTATATAATAGGTAGGTTGGACAAAACATGCTAACCAAATCTGCATAATATTACGAGAGAAGCTGAAATATCGTGCTTTTATGATGTTCTGAACTCTAGTATATGCGTCCAATGAACTTTTATGCGCCCAATCAAAAGAAAATTGGATATTTCTTGCTATTGCAAAGTTGGGATATGGTTCCAAGACTTTTCTTCATGTTCGGGACTTACGCCCACTGGATCTGGGACCATTCATTAACCTATCCATCGAAATTTCTGAAAGTTTTTAAAATTGGCTACAACATTCAGAAATTTTGAGAAATAGGGTAAGGAACTGTCCCAGACCCAGTGGGCGTAGGTCCCGAACACGAAGAAATGTTTTGGACCAGCTTTGCAATACTAAGGAAAATCTAATATTCTTTTGATTGGACGCATAAAAGTTCCTTGAACGCATAAACTAGACCAGCGCCAAAAATTTCCTAATATGTTGCATATTCTCTGAATTTTTGATAAATATATATGCGCAAATTTGGCATTTTGCGTGCATATTTTGCCCAACCCTAGTTTTTGATTTTAATTTTTGATTTTAAAATTACCCAAATTTTGGATAATCTACCTATTTATTTTATAAATTTAAAGAATTCAGCGATGAAAGTATGAAGAAACTATATCGTTCAATCTTTATTATTTTCTCTGTGAATTTTTCCATATATCTAATTCTGCCATTATTACATGCATTAAAATTTCCATTTTTTAATGTGAACCCCGTTACAAGTTGGATTTCATATTTGTATGTCTTCATGATTTTAAATATTTCTTGTGGTACCAATGGACCAATTTTGTATTTAAATAGGCAAGATAATTAATTTAAATTAAAATTAATTTTTTTTAATTTCAGTCTTGATTATAGAGATGCTTATATTGCAGAATTTAAGAAGTTAAAATTAATTTTGATTAAACCGAGAATCTCAAACAGAGTTCAGAATATTCCAAATCAGATTATTTTTGTTGTTCCTAGAAACACTACTCACTAAAGATCGGACAGAGACGAGATCCCGAAAAAAATCTAGGTTATCGAGATGGAGATGTTTCGAGATCTACCATATTTCCTCTAAAATACCTCTCCTCTCCCCACAGAGGTCAATTGAAAAAATAACCCCGGGGTCTATTTTGAGAATTTACGGCTTTCAAATAAGCCTAAAATTAAATTTTTATCTGACCTATAAGGGGTCGAAAATATTTTTTAAAGACATTTACCTCGGTTTTCCGTTGATTTTCGGGTTTTTAAATCTCGATGATGGGACTTGACTCGAACTTCATTTCTTTTGTATTTTGCTTCAATATCATTTGATATGTTTACAGAAATTTTTGTGGATTTTTCGAACCATCCCTAATGTCGAAAATTTTTAGTTATATAAGTGCGCGTATACTTATGAAACACCCTATTTTGGGAAAAAATTAAAAATAAAAATAAATTATTGAATTTTTTGGAGAAATTGTCCATGGATCTTCTTGTTTAGTTCCTGTATATATTATAAAAAATCTAGAAGATATTTACATAAGTATTAATAACAGAAAAATCGAAAATTTAGGTGCGCGTATACTTTTGAAACACAGTGTATATAGAAAAAAATTTTTTTGAGACGCTTACATTTTTTGGGACGAATACACTATCATGGGACGCATACACTACAATGGGACGCTTGTCCTAAACTAGGCAGAAAAAAAATTTTTCAAACATTTTTCTATTTTATCTTATAGTAACCCAAAATTCGAACCTATTTATGAAAATTCGGACCTTTTTGGGCTTTCTTCGGGTTTTTAACCCAATTTGGCACTTAACTAAAATGGAACCTATTTCTTAATTTTTCGGACTCTAATGATGATTGTTGAATTAAAGAGAATAACTGACAATTGAATAAAATGAAGGAATAACTCGAAATATTTCAACATGAATAATTTTTCTATTTAATTTCATTATAAATAAAACATTAATTAACAAGCCTAAGTGATGCGTTTGTAGGGCCTTTGAATTTTTTGGAAGTTAGATTTTCTAACTAAAACGTAGGATGTTAAGCAGGGTTGCCGCCCGAAACCCGATACCCGAAATTTTTGCCAACCCGAAACCCTAATATTTTTTGTACCCGCGGCAACCCTGATGTTAAGGAGTAACTTTGAACCAATAAAATTTCTATGCCTCGTCTATCCTTCATTTTTTATTAAATTAAAGCATCCAATTTAAATTTTGGGACTAAATTTTAAATAAATAAATCTCTTTATTTTTCAATCTCACTTAATGTAAAGGAAATTTGCAAGGATCGAATTTTAAAGAATTCAAATTTATCCACTTTCCCTTCAATTTGCATAAATAATCTGTCAAATTAAAATATAATACAAACAATTTTTAAAAGCTTTTATTGAATATATTTTGTGATAATTAAATCTTCGTTTCATAAATTTATTAAATTTCAATTTCTTATTTAATTGTTAACGTTGTTAACGCCTTCTACGTCTCAACATGCACGAAATGGGCGAAAACTTGAAAAAAATAAATGTTGACTTAAGTTTACTTCCTATAAATTATGTAAAAAATTAGGGAACGTACTGGCAGTGTCATATGAGAATCGAGAATAAAAAAGGGATTAGGTTGGATTAAGTCGTTATAGAAGGATTACGTCTCCCTCTTTCCATTCCTAATCCTCTGTATATTCCTATTAACTTCCATAGCCTCTTAATCCTTGGAATCCCCTCCAATAGAAAAACAATTTTGATCTTTCGTAACGCTAAAAATAGCTATGAACACTGTTCAAGCTTCCAAAAAATTAAGCAACTAGTTAGCTGCATCCCAACCGAATTAATCTTTCAGAATTTTAAAATTACAAATAAAATGCGTAAATAACATTAAGTAGATTTGCGACTTGATTGTCATATGAAAATCGAGAGTCAAGTAGGGTTTAAAAGGGATAGTCACCCTCTTCCCATACACAATTCCCTAATCCTCTGTATGTTCCTAGTAATCCCCCAATCGTCATAACTATTTATATCCACTACAATTGAAAAACAATTTTGATGGATCTGATTTTTATAACGCCAAAAATAGCTATGAACACTGTTCAAGCTTCGAAAAAATAAGCATATTTCGAATAAATTTTTGCTACTGAACTACCCTTTCAGAATTTTAAATTTAAAAATAAAATAGGTAAATAATATTAAGTAGTTGTTGCTTAAATTCACTCTCTTTCAAGATTATTTTTAAAATATCTTACTTCACATTGCTCCCAACCATGTTCAAAATCACGTCGCTTTTCATCCCCTCTCTTTTCCAAAGTAGTCTAAAAATAATTTATTTACTTCATGTTTTTAATTAAATATATTAAAATACATATGTTTAATGGATTTATGAAGCTTTATATTTGAAACAAAATTTTTTGTGCGCTATTTTTGTAAGCCATTTAGATGGCTAATTTATCTGACATTAGAGTAGCTTCAAACAAAAAATTTTTCAGAAATCGGAATAAATCCAAGAACATCGAACTTGAAAATATAACCAGAGGTGAAAATATAACCAGAGGATCGAAATCGAAAGAAAAAAGCTCGAAATTATGCCCTGATTCTTGCTACTGTGGATTCTTGGATCGTGATACCAGGATAGCTCGTAAGGATATCACGAAACTCTTGAAACCTGTTACCCTGCCTTATTTTCACTCAAAACCCTGCACGACTTTTTCCTCCTGATATCCCTCTTAATCCCCCAGCTCTGTCACTAACCAAGACGACACCCGATTTTTTTCTCAACCCGTAACATCCTTGTTAGCTATGCCTATCTCCTATCTCCAAAATCACCTTTGATTGGATTCTGTTTGGGGGTTTTTCCATCAAAACATAGTAACCATTCCCATTGAATTTTTGTTGGTTATTATGTTGTTTATTTAGTTGTTTCAAGTATTCGTCCCATTCTGAGACTAATTGACGATTATTTTCTTGGACACTAATTGGGTCGAATAGAGGAGATATTGCTGCATTTGACTGACAGAATAACTGAAAAATAAGTCTATAATCAGATAAATTTGACTGATATTCTCAGCCATACAAAAAAATAAAGCATCTAGCAGTGTGAAAGCTTCAGTTTCTAGTTGGGAATGTTTATTACTTAAAGTTAATTTTTTAATTAATATTAAGTACATTAGCGAAAACTCTGGTAGATCTTATATTGATTCCAAATAGAGTTGTTTATTAATGTAAAGCATATAGCTATTTACTTATTTTTCCTAAACTGCTCAGTAGGAGCCGTGGTGTAATGGATAACAAACAGTTCGGTTTACTGAAGACCTTTCGCACTAGCTAAAAGAGAGAAATGCTATAGTCCAGCTGCTTTACTCTGTTTACAATATAGCAAATATTTCAATTAAACATGAATATTAGTCTATTAATAAATAGACGACGTAGGGGAGGCGACATTCAGCTGATTATTTTTTGGAAGTTGGACATACCAACTGAAAATGTAAATGATGTCTATTATATTTGTCTGTTGCTAAACATTTGTGCATGTGTTCCATGGATGGGTCTTTTCGAGTTTTTAAAAAAGGAAGCGGAAATATCTAATCTTTATTGTGTTCGGGGACCTTAGCGAAAGCTTTGACAGATCCAGTACATAAAAGTTAACGCCAAAACAAAACATTTGGGAACGAAACTACGACTTTAATATAATGAAACCTACACTAGCAATAATAACGGTCATAAATGTCGTTGAAATTATTAAAGATAATTTGTTTAGAATTATTTGTTGTCCAAACATTTTGCAATTATTTAAGTTTTGTGAGAATTTTGGAGAATTTTATGAATAAATTTTATTAAAATTTAGAAGAATATTATTAAAAATCTTTAATAATTTTTAATTAATTAATGAAGATACAATGGATAGGTCCCTCTGGAACCGTTAAAAAAGCGACCACCCGATATGTGGTTGGATGGCATAGGGCATTAGGCTGCAGTTTGAAGAGAAAGGGGCCTAATATCGAAAGATAGCAGTGTAACTCAAATGTTTGAAGAGTTGCGCTCTAAAATTATAACGAAGATTTAGATAAGAATTGACTGGTTTAAAAATATAGCATATAACACCAAGTTTGTGATCAATCTCAACTTAATTACTCATGATTTGCCAGCTGTATCTTAAAAAGCGATAGACGAATACAATAAGATTGTGGACTCGGTAGTTTTAGAACGACCGGACAAAATCGATTAAAAATGAGTTAAAGTTAATGAGGTTATATTTTTGACTGTATTAACAGCAACAATATACAAAGGAGATTGAACCTAAATCTATAGCTCGAAAAACCCAGAAGATAGCAGTCAATCTTTTTTTTCAAATTAGGTCCCTATTGTATCAAATGCAATATAGAATTTGGAAAACATAGAATTAGAAAATTTGACCTAAAATGAATACTTTTGACTGTGATAATCAGTCATACAAAAATAATACAAAGATGAAAAAGAAAGAACAAAATATTTTTAAAAAATCGAAATTTAAGGAAATAATTTTGTAATCTTGCATATTAAATATATATAGATGTAGCGTCACAAAAGCTCATTCTTTTATATTTAACCATGCACAAGGAAAATTAACCAGGTATTGGCCCCGGTAGCCAGGCCCCGGTAGCTCAGTGGTAGAGCACCTGCATTTGTGTAAGCGAGGCCTAGTGGTTGTGTGGTCCGAGTTGTTAACTGTTTAAAAAGGTAAGGAAAAATTTAGGTTGAGATTTAGTAGTATTGGGAATATTTTATATGCCTTTATTAAAAGCTCATTTTAAAATGCGCTTATAAAACTTGGTATTATATATGATGTTTTTGCTGTGGAAAAATTCATTAGATTGGAGATGGAATTAACATTCAGGAATGAGCTTAGACCGAAGCACAACCGAATTTATTTTCATTTATATTCTTTCTGCAAGTGCGGACACAACACTTGGACACAGGAAGATCTCCTTAAATACATTGAACTAGCCTCTCAATATAACTTTTGACCGAGTTAATCAGCCATACAAAAATATAAGCATACTTGTACCAGTAGGAAACTTAAAAAGCTTTCAGAAAATCTGCTTTTATAAAATTAATTTTAATTAATAAATATTTTGTAAAAACATAATTTTTACAATAAGTAAGAGCGAGGTAAAAGCTTAATCCCGAGCAGGCTTCGATCCTGCGACCTCCTAGCAGTTATTACTAGGCGCCTTCGCTAACACGTACAGGAGCTCTACCAACTGAGCTGCCGGGACGGTCTACCAACTGAGCAACCGGGACGCTGCTTTCAACATCTCTTTTAATAGATCTTAAACCTAGTGAGCGTTATAAATGCTAGCCAGCTGGATCTTTCTCTTCATTACAAATATAAACAATTTTTTCAACAAAAAATAATGACGTAAAAATAATTTAAATTTACTACTTTTAACAAACAAAAATGCCCGCAGCTTTTTCTACTTTTTGTTTAAAAACCTTTCAAAATTTCACACTTATTTAAAGTAAATGCCTTTCGGTGTGTCTGCGAGTTAACTAAGCTAATCCCCCCTTAACTAAACAAAACTAAAAAATGAATAAACAAAAAATTTATGAAGTACAATTTAATGGTGTATGAAGCCCAACTATTGTTTATGCACTTAAATGAGAAAAAGTGGATAAAGGAAGAAGTTAGTTTTTAAAAATTATTAAAAATACTGGTGAAGAATTTAATTTTTTTAATTTTAGTTATTTACTGGAAGAAGTTCCAGCATCCAAAAAATATCAGACAAATATTATTATACTCTTCCGATTAAATAAATCGAAAATACTTAATTATAAAACTATTAATTAAAATATGTATATTAAGCAATTATTAAACAATTTAAAAAACAAAGAGGTCATTTTTTAAAAAAATTATTAAAAATGCTTCGGAAAATTGAATTTTGATATCCAACTACTTTAATAAAAATTTCGGTTTGCGATCAGAATATCTTAAAATTATAAATTACATATAGATATAAAATATCATTAAAATTTGTTAACGTAGTAAAAAGTTACTATTTCAAATATGTAGTGCTTCTTAGTTGACACATTCAGCCTACACAAATTGACTTGGATATTAAATAAAAGTAAAAATGTACTAGTATAAAATGCTTTATTTTGACTGACATTTAAGTCAAAATTGAGAAAAAGAAGAAATTTTATTTGAAAAAACACTTATAACTTTAAATTAGCCAAATTTGCAATAAAAAATATTTTTCAAAAAAGCGCGTGACAGGATAAAAAATAATTAAAAACAATTCTGTGATGACATAAGTTTAGAAAAAATATTTTTTATATATTAAGTAAAATAAATGTCAAAAATTAATTGAAATAAATGCCGGAAATTGAGGTATTTATGTGGTTAGAATGAAAAAAGGGAAATTGGGGGCAGTTAGTGATCAGAAATCTTATGAAGAATAATTTAAAAAGTTTTTATTAACGTAGAATATGGATACGAAAATGTTTTTTGCCTAGGCAATACTTGGCATCCAAAAAATTACCTGAAAAAAAGAAAAAAACCCAACGCCTATCAATATACTTACATTCTTTATTCCAATTATAATTTAATTATTTCATACTTTTAAGTAGGGTTGCGCGAGGTCGAGGTTTTTCGAAAAAACCGAGACCGAGGATCACCGAGACTGAAAAAGCGAAGTCCGAGGTCGAGGTTCGAGGATAACCGAGGGTTTTAAAAAAATTTTAATCTTTTGAAAATTTAATTAAATTTAGCAAATTTTATCAGATATTTGCTAAATAATTTCAAATTAATAATTTCCATCATATTCAGATCCAGTAGGGTACCCAATACAATAGATCAGACAACTCATATCCTTAGCCAAATAATTTCTAAGCTTTGATCAACTCTTTAGAATACTTTGGAATAGAAATTTGATGAGGCTGGAAAATAAAATTATTCGATCAAATATCAAATACTCTAAAAATAATTGATCATACGGACAGCGGATTAAGACATACGGAAGAATTAAAGGGGATATCAAAAAGGAATTAAGGCGGATATAAGGGGGCTTGAATGCATTAATTGGGTTAAGGAGCAAAATTTATAAGCAAAATTCTTCCATTTTATCCAAAAAAGTTTATTTTTAGGGGTGTATATTTTGCCTCGTTCCTCGGCGAGGTTTTTGGCGAGGATCGAGACCGAGGCTCCGAGACCGAGGACCGGTCGAACCGAGACCGAGATTGGAAAATGGGCGAGGACCTTGACCTCGGCCTCGGCGAGGCCTCGACCTCGCGCAACCCTACTTTTAAGTAGCTAGCAACCTGACCCAAAAAAACACGTCGATTTTCATGGCAAAACCCCGACCTTCGAAGGCCCTATGCTATTGAACTCCGGAAGATATCATAGGAATATGGCCGGATATCGCGGATATCATAGAAATTGAACTGATATCATAGGCTTTATCTTGTCACTAAAGCTATCAAATAGTTTCGCCTGTACGATGAGGGGGAGGGGAATTTAAGTTTTTTATAAATTACGAATTAAGATTACAAATTACAGCATTTTTTAGTTACGAATTACGATTACGGAAAAAATTTTCAATTAAACCGCAAGGCTGATATTTTGTATCCATAAATGGAATAAATCTCCGGAAAAGATATTTCAAAAAAATAGAAGGGTCACGAACAGTGGGAAAATTGCTTAAGCTTTGCTTAAGCATCCAAAAATAAAACTGATCTCCAAAGTTAATTACAAGACTGTGGCAAAAATGAACATTATTATAATTTATTATTTGAATTATTGAATATTATTAAGATAATTAAATTATGTAAGGAAATAATTTACTATTTTTTGACCTATAATGAGGTTTTAAGTTATTATTAAGATTAGGGTTGAGCGGTATTGGGCAGTATTATACGTGTTTTTAAAATCCCAAAACTATTTTGATGATCACCGATATCAAAATCCGTATCTGTTCATCTCCCCCAAAATGCCGTACCGATTTTATGTCGGAATCCCGATACCATTCAAAGCCAATTATGCTAAAATTTCTAATAACAAAAGGTGTGTTTATAAGGATAGGCCTATCTGTATCCATAAATAGGCAAAACTTTGTCCCCCTTATATATACCTCAAATGAGTTTCAGTATGAGTAAGCCTTCTAAAATTAGCTTTGCCTTCCAAAACCTGGATCCATAAATAGAATAGATTTGCCGGAAGATAAATTTTTTTTATAAATTTTTGCAAATTTAAATTTTAAAAAAAGTTTTGAGCAAATAAAGCCTCTTCAATTTCATCACAAAAAATTAATGAGTATCATTTTTTCGCTCACATTTTTGCCATTATTCACACAAACAATCCCCCGTCTTTAGACACATGGGAAATTTTCTCATTTTAAAAAGTAATTGTTAGTTGGAGGGTAAAGCTTGTTTGTTTACTTTGGCCTATTTTTAATTAGATGGGGAGTTGACAGCAGTCATAAACGGAAAAAATGTTTGAGGGGGGAATTTTGTGTATCGACAACGTATAATTGTATAATCAATCTACAAAATATGTATTATTTTAAACTAAATTGGTGAAATGTTTAAGAATGAAAAAAACATGAAAAATATAGAGGGTTTATGTAATTTTTTGGAAGTTGGATATCTCAACTAAAAAGAGTTAGATTAAGAATCTTAGAGTAATAATCTCGGAGCTGGCAGATTATCCTAAATATTAAAGTTACATAAGACAGGATAAGTTTTAAGTGAGTTAATGCCAGGGTTACATAAAAATCGCGCGCGTTTTGTGACAGAAAAGATAATGGGAAATGAGGAGGGCAAAGTCGCGCGAGATTTTGAAATATTTCGCAATTTATAGACTTATTTTTTAATTTTTATTTTGTCAATTAATAAAGGGCACTTTAATAATTTGCACTTTTTGTCGATTGCCAAAATTAATATTAGTATTAGTCAATAATATATTATACATGTATTTGTTTATTTCCCTTTTATATCATTAACATTTAATAAAATTTTAAAATTGGGACCTGATTTATTTATTGGGTCTCAAAACCCCCAAAAAAGGTTTTATATTTCGTTTAAAAATATTTTAGTCAGTTAATTTAACCAAATACGCTAAAATGTTGAAGTATTTGACATTTTCAGACACATTACGTGTTCTGAATGATTGCTGGATTGATGGAGTTATAGAAAAGTCACTCTTGTAATATATGCCTCAGTTGAGTAAAGTGTTGTGTATTTGGCATTGTGTGGCTCTGTCACTTTTAAAGTCAGCTCCGGAGCTATCTCCTCTGTTTTCTAAATTAATATAAAAAATATTTAGAAACAATAAAAAATGAACTAAGTTGCCGGCATTGGGGAGTCTTAATATTAGTCTATTAAAAATAAAAGGATAAAGGATATCAAGAGGGATTAGAAGGATTAAAGGGAATATCAAAACGACTACTTTAACATTTTATTTAATATATGATTTTATTTTAAAAATTTTTATAATAAACAAAAAAATGAATAAATTTATAATCATTATTATCTTCCATTTATTTATTCTGTCAAATATTATATGCGCACAAATTAAAGTAGAAGCAAAAATCAAAAATGATTGGGAAGAAAAAAGAGAATTTATTTATTTAAACAATGTTGAACTAAAGGAGCGATTTGTGTTGCAAACAATTAAGAAACAAAATAATCAATTTGATAGTCTGGATAAAAATATAGAAAAATATTTACGTTTAAATGAATTTGATTTTGTTAAAAATAGTTTCAAAACTGAAATTAAATTAAAATCGGAATATAGTCCAACTGAACAATTAAAAAAGAAAATTTTAATTGAAATTGCTAATAGTCAAAAAATTGAGAATATTTTGCCTGAACATGAAAAACGGGTATTTTAAATATTTTTATCACTAGGTAAATATTATCTAGACGTCGAGATCAGCTCTCAGCTCTCTCAATTCCGCACTTTGCGTAATTTTCCGATTATCGTTTTGTGTGCCTCTAACTATAATAATAATTTAAGCTACTACGAAATAATAATTTTGTTAAAAAGAGCAATTATTATGAAACTTCTATATTAAATGAGAGTTTAGAAAATAGTAATAATGTTTCGAAGTCAATTAAAGAAAAAATAGAAAATTATAAATACAAACTTTTATCAAGTTATTGGACGGAAATTAATTTAAATGGATATAAAATTGAATTGTTAGAAAAACAAAATGTTGGAGCTTCAAAGGAAGAAATCAGAATTATTTACATTGGCAATAAAATTGGTAAAAATCAAATTTTTATTTTTGGACCAGCCTGATTTTTGCTTTAGTTATTCGTATATTTATTTATAATTGAAATAAGCATAATACACTATAAAACTTGAAATTTTACAACTTTTCCCATAGTCATCAGGAGGATATTTAAGCTAAAACAAATGTTGAGTAGATCTGCATTAGGTATAAGCCTTCTAAATTTTTTGAAAGCGAAGACGGATATCAAAATAAAACGGGAAAAAGGAAGGGTAAGGGATCCTATTTCTTTCACAAATCTGTTTATTTATAAATATAGGTAAACTTAAAAAAACAATGCAATGTTTTAATTGTGAAGATAATCTAACTGGACATTGGCATAGGTACATAAAAGAACAATATTTGTGTCATGCATGTTACCTATATCGACTAAGCCATGGAAAGCATAGACCGCGGAAATTTTGGTCAAAATATAAACCACAAGAGGTATACCTTTAACACTAAATGTTATGACTAATCTCTCAAGATTTAATCTTGTGTCAGTCAAATACTTTTTTCAAGTAAGATTTTCGGATCCTGCGAAATCCCAAGATATCCGGATGCAATATCCTAACCGAAAATTCCGGATCCGGATTGCTTCCAATCAAAAGTATTTTTTATGCAAGGAAAACAATGTAGGATGAGTAGAAAGATTCGAGCTTTCGACTGTAATTACTAATTTATAAAAAATATACAGATAAACCCTAAGGATCGTCAATGTTATACTTGTGGTGCAGTAAAAACAAAACAATGGTACCGACATTCAGAACCAGGAAAAAGTTTATGTAGAAAATGTTTTCAAAGACAAAATAGAATGAGAAAAGGAAATAAAAAGTTAGAGGAAAATACATAAATCGAATAAATAAAATAAATCCCTAATTATTGAAAAAAACACTTGAACGTACAAATCATGATATCGAGAAATTCTCGGTTTAAACATGGGATTGCTCGGGGCTTAACAATATATTATTAAAATCAATCATAATAAGAAATTTTTGAATAAAAACAAATATCCGCAGTCTTATGTCATACGTTATTTCGTTTATATTTTTCTGTTTTTTAAATTTTGCCGCGGACATTATTCATCTTCATCGAAACGAAAATTCATTAAAATTTCTTTATGTACTTTGATATTCTTTATAAAAAAGTTTTAAAAAATTTCAAAATTTACCTTATTCTAATTGAATTAGCCTTTTACGTTCAAACTACATAACTTGTATTACTTTATTCCCTTTATTAACTAGTTTTCGTTTTTAGTATGGATAATTAAGATATTTTTGATGAAATTTGGAGACAAAAGAGGAATTAAGATGGTTATCAAGGATATGAATGTTTTTTCACAATATATCAAGAAATTAAAAGAAATCTCTATTCAGTAAAAGTCGTGTCATTGATTCCGGATTTGGATGTGAAAGCATCATGGATTTCATTTCCTAAAATCATACCCACAATGTTTAAAATTATTCAAGTAACCCGAATAATTTTGTGCACTTTTTCGTCGTTTTCAATGTATTTTCTGTAGCCATTCAACTAATTAAATTTAATTACTAGTTTCTACAGCCATTTTTTCTAAAATATCCCTAATTCGTTGCCCTAGGCCATGTAATATGTGTAATATAGGAAGTATTCTAGATCTATAAGAATAGTGGCAGTTTCCCAACTTGAATACTGAACCCATCTTAAAAAATAAACTAATGGAGATTATCATGCAAACCAAGTGAAAATGTCCTTTCCTCTGCCGATTCGAGTGGGAGTGGATGTTAAGTTTTACATAATATGTATGGATGTTTGTCAGATGCACCTCTATGTTCAAAGAAGGAACAGGAGAATTTATAGTCTGCTGATATGAGTAATTTTCAATTTGTAATCCACAGACATTCATTTCACACAATTGTTTCAATTTTCAAATAGTGTGGATAACTAAGAATGTTTGCTAAGATTACTTAAAGTTTTGAGAGACGCTTTCCAACAATTATCGCTTTCTTTACAATATTTACTCTCTAAAATACGTTCTAATTTATCACCTTTCATTAACAGACTTAAACAGCAAAAGATCTAATTAATTAAATTTTTTATAATAATTCAACCAACATTTTAAACAATTCTAATATAGAAAACATTTAAATAAAATTATATTCTTCTCCTCTATATTTTTGTAAAATTAAGCTATCCAGTGTTTGAGGGCCTATGATTGTTTGTGAATAATTCTGTAAATTATTTTTTAAATCAGGCAAAACAGAATTATTGCCAAGATTTGTAGGTGAAGCAAAAATGTAATTGCAAGGCTGAATTGGATTCCAAGCTTAAAATTAATGAAAAAATAAGAAATTATTTTTTTTATTTTTCGGGAATATTTTAACTAGTGTTATTGGTTACAGGTCAAATTTCGCGTCTCATTAAAATTCAATATTTGACAATTAGTTTTAACTGGAGTGCTCGACGGTACGGTATCCTATGTGATATTTTGCGGGATAGCGTCATTGAATCAAAAGTTTTAGACTACAAACGTTCTTATAAATATTTAATGTTAAAGGTGATCACTCGAGTTTCTAATAAATCTATATCGAAATACTGTGGAAATAAGCTATAATTAAATTTTTATTTTGTTAATAGTAAATAATCAATTTTGTTATTTTTATTAATTACGTTTACAAAATTTTGTTACAATGGTTTTAATCTTGCTGCTTTATTTTTGGAAGCTTGACTATTGTTCAGGCAAAAATTTTAAAACTAGATTGCTTCAATCAGACTATATTTATTTAATGCAACATTTAAATTTAAAATTTAAATAAGCAATATATACGTCTTACTTTTTCTAAGTTCATTATTTTGTATAATTTCATTTTCTTCGTCTGTTGCAGGTAAATTTCGTAAAAATTTTCTAAATAAATTACTTTAATTTAATTATTTTATTTTAGACAACCTGTGTTTAGCACGACGATTTTTAAACCAAACCTAAAGGAAAATGAGAGTAATAGTTTAATTAGCCCCTTTTTTAAATTTAAGAATAAGGACAATTTTCTTGAACTTGCATAAACCAAATCAAGAGTTTGATAACTTTTTCATAACTCAAGGTAAAATCGGGTGTACACTAGAGATGGGTCAGGATCCAGGCTGAATTTATTCCTGAATCCAGATCCAGAATTTTTGGAAAACCTATCTATAGTGTATATATCTATATCTTCGCTCTGCTCCCTTTAATTATTGCGACAATAAAAATTAGATAACGGCCTAGATCTTACTCCAGATCAGATAAATAAGCTAATTTTTTCAGAAATAATTTGAACTTAATAAAAAATTTAAATTAATTTTGCCAAGAAATACCTGAATTTTCGATTCAGGCAAATTTGTTTGTTTAGCCAATTTATCTCGAATACTGACATCTGGATATTGTTGATGTTCAAAACAATTTTCTAGTTCCTAAAATTGAATAAAAATAATTTTAAAGCCTTTGTATTTACCAATAATCAAGATTAGATAAATTTTGGTGATTTAAATAAGAACATATTTAAAAGCTGAGTTTTCAAGTTTACCCCATGATAATTGTAAAATAGTAGGTGCAGAAAAAGATTTATTTAAGGGGAATTAACAAAATCCTCATGGGAACAAATAATAGATTGATTATGCGTCCTAAGATAAATTAAATATCATGTATAATCTAGGAAACATTTTGAAGAATACAAAAATAACACAAATATTCAAGTTATACCAAATTAATTAAAATTTTTAATGTACCTCCAATTGCGAATCTGTAAAAGCTGTTCGATTCCTTCTAGCAACCTTTCTTTTTTCATCTGTTTTTAAACTTTTAGTACCTTGTAAGCCATTCATTTGAAATTTTTCTTTTTGATTATCTTAATTAAATATATTTTATTCCTTAAAAGGGTCTAAATTGTTATGGAAACTGACATAACACCTAAATCTTTCATTAGACCCTAGAAATCGAATTCTTAATGTTCCAGCAAATATAAAAACTAAAGCAGGAATTCATGATATATAGGAGAGGGCAGGTAAATCCACCCACTAGCTTAGTCGTTACAGCACAGGAGAAGTGTTTGACACTTTTGTGCAACATATTAAACAAATTAAACTCGAATATAGATATATCTAACAATATTCTCTGTTTATGCCTGGTCTGTTTGGTTTGGGAAGACTTTATTTTTGGAAGACAAATGTTAACTTTGTCTAAAATTGTGGTACTCAATTAATTAGGATGTTAGGCCTAAATTTCGTTATTTTAACAAAACTATAATTCTTAAGATCACAAATAACTCTCTCAGACAACACCAAATAAGAAAATTTAATTTTTAAAATTAAATTTTTAAAGTAACTGACTCTGGCCAGCAAAAATAAGAGTTGGAGGAAGAAATTTGGGCGAAATTATTGTAGTAGTTGAAGTTGGGGGAAGGGTATTAGTTACTGAATTATTTAAATTTTCTGTATTTTTATTTTGTGGAATTTGTATTGAAGGCTGTTGAAATGGAGGAAAATTAAAAATTGAATTGCCCCCAAAAATGGTATTCATTAAAGAAGGATTGTTGTAGATATTTTGGAGGTTTAATAAATTTTGTTGGGCACCGGGAATGTTGTTGTTAGCTATTGTTTTAATTCCAAATTGATTCTGAAATTTTAAAAATTTACTAGAAGCTTCCACATTTTAAAAAGAAAAAGTTGTGAAAATTAAAGGAAAAAGAAGTGGGAAAGATAATTATATTGTTCTCATCTCTGTTGTTATGAGAACTAAATAAAACAAAGTTTGCTTAATAGCTATTTTTAATTTAAGCAATAGATTTATATATTTAAATAATAAATAAAATGTGTGTAAAGGCGACGTGTTGAAAGTGCTTAATATTTTTGTATGCCATTATATTATTTTGGCAATTAAACTTCTTGACTCTCCATGCTTTGTGTATATTTCTAAAAACTTCAAAAATGACAAAGCAAGTCTTAACCATAACTAAGGACCTAAACCCTAATAAATACGCTCTACATTATTATAATTTTTTCAAAACATTTTATCTTATTGAGGGGCGATTAATTTGAAATTGTTATCGAAAACCCGAATCCTTATTAGAATTGAATTTTTCTTTTAGCGTTAAAAATGATCACATAAAGAAATTTCAACATTATGAGCTTTGGATAAATATTAAAAATTCTTCTGAATGTAGAATCTTTTTTTATCGATGGCTGGCATACCGGAATTTTCGTCTCCTGATTTATCTCCTTCGAAGATAAATCAGGATCTAAGAATTTCTGTAAAATGTTGGGTCCTCGATTGACAGTAAGGTTAAATAATAAATTATAGGATTTACTAAGAAATTAGGCGTAGAAAGATTCATATTATTAATTAATAAAGCTTTCTTTTACATTAAAAAGGACTAAAATATCTACAATTATTTTTAATTTACCTGTATAGAGTTAATTTCGTTTAAATTAAAGGGAAATATATTTGAGGAAGAACTGGGAAAAATGTTGGCAGTTGATGCGATTACAGTATTTAAATTGTTTGGAATAGGGATTAATAAATCTGTGTTGTTGTTTGCACATTTTGGGACTGCTATTGGTTCTTCAAACGAAAATGAAGGTAGTGGAGGGGGATTAAATTGTATAGAGGAATTTATGTTTTGCATTTTTTTTAAATTAAAAATAGATGTAATTAATTAAATTTAGCTGGAAATTTTTTGAATTTCTAGAAAAATATTTAAAAGAACAATAATTATAGTCTAAAACATGAAAAAAAATATCAAAAAAAATAAAATAATTTTTCATATTTAATTTAATTTTGTTTAATATATATTCTTGAGTTAAACAATGTTTTAAATATTCATAGTATCATAGTAGTATCAAGTAAATTTGTTGGATTAGACCTATAATTTTTTGGATGCCATATGAAACTATTGGCAATCAGGGTGGCCCCTTCCAAAACACTAAAATAGGGCGCAGCCACTCAAAAATAGGGCAAAAATTAGGGCATAGATTTAAAAGCTTAAACATAATTAAAATTTTAAATAAGGCGAAAATTTTGAGAATTTCGGAAGCCAGGAAGTCAAATTTCTTCCATTTTTTGCGCCGCAGGCAAAAATTTTGAGGATTTTGGAAGGCCAGGAAGTCAGAAATCCTTAATTTTAAACATTTTTCTTACAAAATCCGAAGAATTTTTGAAATTTTACAAGATGGTAAAAATAGGGCAAAAATATGGCAAATTAGAAAATAGGGAAAAAATAGGGCGAAAAGGTCAAAATTAGGGAAAATCCTCTATAAATAGGGTAAAAGGGCCACCCTGCTGGCAATTAAAGCAATAATTAATTTAAAGATTAATTAATGAGTTAGCTCTGGTGCGGGTTCGTTTTAATGTTGAAAACTTAAACCTAAGAAGAACCTAATTTCATTAAATTTTCTGCAATTGCCTATCAAATATTTCCTTCATCCAAAGTCAAGAATCCGGTTAAAATCCTCAACCAAAATCCAGATTAATTTTTATAGTCAAGGTTTTAACATGTCTTATCTCTATTTTTCAACCTAAAATTATTAACTAAATTAATTTCTTAAAAACAATTTTTAAAAAATAAAATTTTTCTACTTTAATTTGTTAAATGAAGGTCAATGAAACTTTTAAGAGTGCATTTACCTTATTTATTAATTATTGTAGACAATCACGAGATTATTAATTTACATCTCCAATTGTTTGTCTTATGGCCTCATTGCCTTTTAGCCTATTGAGGAAAAGAGATAGGAAGGATGGGAAGAAAGGGATTGAGAGGAGTGGCTGGCTGGATAGAAAAAAGAGTCTGAAGTCAAATGAAAATGAAATGGGAAGGGAGTAGAGGGAGGGAGTTGAGGTTTAGGAAGGATGTAAGGGGAGGGATTTAAGGAGGGACATAGAGGGAGAGGAAGAGAGAGAAGGAGATTTTAGACTTAAACAATCACTACAAGAAAGTAAGGGCAAAAAAGGGATTGTTTCTCCGATTATAGGGAAAGAAATAGGTAATATAGGGCCAATTGAGAGGAGTAATAAATTGAGAGGAGGAATAAATTGAAAGGAGGAATGAATGTGGGGGGGAATGAATGTGGGGAAGACGATTAAGTAAATCTATTTGCGCAGCAGTCTTGCCGCCCACCCAAAAATTTTTATAAAGGCATTTTAGACAAAAAATAATGTCTAAGAAAAAAATATTATTTGTTATGATTAAAGGCACGCGGAAAGTACAAGCCGTGTTTAATTATTTTGACTTTAAAGTGAGAAGAGTTTTATTAAAGCGGTAATTTCAAAATAAAAAATGACGAATTTTAATAAAAATATTAATGACGAATTAATTATTTTATTGTTGATTTCATATAATAAAATTAAAGATAAGGACACAAGAAGAGTTTCAATAAATATTTTTCTCTAATTAATTTGTTTATGCTGGTTAGTTGAAGAACCCGAATGGGATATCATGAAAAATAGGCTTCGAGTACCAGGAATTTTGTTTGAGATCTCGATAAGGGCGAAAGAGAAGATCAAAGAGGAAGATCAAAGAGAATCAGGCAAAGCATACAAATGGAGAGACTGAGGTTTGAAGCCATTCGAGGCCAAATTTTTGCGGTGATTTAAATATTCTAAAAGCTAAAAGTGCTCCAAAAATTCAACGGCATCCCAGTGCCATAAAATGATATAATCACGAAATAGTTAATGGAACTAAAACATAATACATCACCAAAATTTTTGTTGTGTAGCCAGTGAAAGCGTCAGTCTAGTTGGATCATACTAGCGGGACTAGTCACTGATCTCCTTCATCTGTTCCAGCTCTACATCCCTTCGCCTACACATTATTTATTTCTACACTGATGAACTGCCATTCTTGTTGTTCGTCGACTTTAGTTAAATCACGGACAACTCTCGGACATAACAATTTTCATCATCCATTAATATTGCCCTGTTGAACAAGTCACGGTACTTTTTTCTTAATAAGTCTTGAAGGTTGTGTTGCTTGATTAAGCAACACAACTTCATAAAAATTATAAAAATTCCTCTTAACCTTCATTTTCTCTAAAATTTTTCAATTATTTATATTCTCAAAAAATTATTTTTACAAAAGAACGTTATTTGTCAAAAATTAAAAAAAAGAGGGATAGCCGCTCGTCTCTCCTTTCCATCGGTCACTTCCGGCTAATGTTCTCTCTACTATAAAGAAATACAATATTTGCCTCAAATAAATACTTGTAATTCTCTGATTTGTATTTATGCGCAATCCTCTTATATTATTTAAACATTTGTTGTCTTCCAAAAAAGATTTTTGTATTTATTTTTGGTTTATTTGATGAGTATATGTATTTAATGATTGACAAGTAAGAACCTTGTTAAATATACAATGGCTAAATGATTTTGGAAAAATAAAATTGTACTATTTAAATTTATTTGAGAATATTACTGTAATTTTAGAAATTTAAAAATAGGCTTTTAGGGGTGTTTGAATTCCTTGCACAAAAAGGGCAAAATGCAAGAGGGGCAGCCTATTTTATTAAATTTTTGAACCGAAAATTTCTGAAAATTAGTGCTTATTTAAAATTCCTCCAAAATTAAACTGGTATTTGACTAATGTCGAAGCCGAAAACAAGGTTTTCAAAAAATGCTTAACCGAAAAGTTGATTAACAATTTGGGGGATTAATAGGGATATCGAGGGATACCAAGGAAGTTGGAAGGATTAATAAGAGTAGAAGTTAAGAAAATATCATCTTCTTCCTATCCTGCTAATTACTCCTTTTTTCGTTTGCAGGAGATTTCACAATTATGTGACATCGTGGGATCAAGTGAGATATCGTTGTAAGTGATATCTGGTCATATCAGTGGATTTTATTTGAGTAAAGTTGATAACAGAGGATTGAGGTGACAATTTGGCGATTTAGAGTGAGTAAGAAGGGATATTGTCGGATCAGGGAAAAGTACGAAGAATATCGGGACCATCAAGTCACAAGATTTACATTTTCAGCGCCTAGGCGAAAATTTTAGAAAAGTTGGAAGGTCAATAAGCCTGATCTCCTCAATTTATATTATTACATATCAATTTATTAAAGAAAAAATAAAATTTTTAATACAATTACTATTTAATTTTTCATGCATTTGCAGGCAAAACCTTAATTGTTGTTTGACCAATTTGTATTACTTTAGATGTTTCTGTCGTTGACCCGATAATTTTCTTATGAATTTTTTCTGGAAGTATTGTTCGAATTAATTTAATTCTGAATGATTGACTGGCCCAAAGTAACAGAAAACTGGGTAAAACAACGACTCCGAGATCCATAACAATTGTGTAGATACTGCCAAGAAATGACATAATTGAAACAATTTTCCAATAGTTAGAGGCATATATAGCTATCTAAATTAGAATATTCAAATATAAATTTTTAAAGATATAGTTATAAGTGATTGAATAATCTTAGTCTATGAACATTTTTTGGAAACCCTTTGTAATGTATAGGCCCTTTAACGTTTTAACATAAAAATTTTATTAAAATGCCAGTCAGAGTGTTTGCATGGGTTACCTTAACCATCGCTTCTTTTCTTTAACAATTTTACAATACAATTTTGTATTTTTCGCTTCATCAAAGGCCTGGACATACCTGAAGCTTAATCCTAAAAAGATACGTTCTCGGACCTTTTTGTAATTCAGTTGTGAAACCGTAATTACTCGTAAAGCGGTAAACTAAAAGCAAATTCGAAATTTCAAATGTCAACTACTGCCATTATGGATCATTCGATAATCTCATATATTTTTCTAGGATTTTTGATCCCCTAATATAATTAACAATTTCTGAGAGACATAATAAAAATTTTAACACATTAATTATCTATTCTAAACAATAATAAGCGAGAAAAACCTACAACAATAATTGCTATAAACATTTGACCAAACGAAGTAAACAGTGCAAAAAACATCAATTTACGCTCAATTTTATCTTTAGATTTATTTCCATTAGCAGGCAGATTAACTACACCAGCTTTAGTATTTACTCTCTTTTTGTAAGCAAAAATGGTCATTAAATTAATTATAATGAAAGCAAACAGAAAGAAAATTGATTCAATTGTACTTAATTGAATGTAGAAATTGAGCCTTCCTTCCTTTAAAAAATTTTTTTAAAAATAAAGTTGACCTCATCCTAATGGTTGCCATTTTAAAATATCTGGGAACCAGGAAGTCCGATGAACCGGAAAGGATTAGGTTCGGCTCTTAGGCTCAGTTCTGATATACGATGATTTCTCAGTAGTGAGGTTAATGGTTCCTTAAAATCTCCTAATATCTGAGATCGAAACCGATATCAGAACCAGAAATTTAGGGTAAACGGTAGCTAAATATATAGCATTTTAAGCATCCGCTCTGTAATGAGATCTTACTTTAATACCATATTTATTATCACAGAACCATTTTAACTCTATTTTTCAATATGTTTAGAAACCAGTTTATACGTAGACAGTGGTTTTATTATCAAAAATACGGTCAATTAATCATTAATTAAAATCTACTTGTTTAGCTTCAATAACATCAATGGAAATAATACTTTCATTCTTTTCATCTTTTTGTATTAAATAAGTGTAATTTATATTAATTAATCCAATGCAATTCAGCGGTATAGCGAAACAAATTACACAAACAATCAAAAGTATTTTATTCCATAACTAAGATAATTTTAATTAAAAATTTGTTAACTAGGAAGTAGATACATATTTAATATTACATCAAGTCTCTAGAACTTTATTTCTTTGTTTTCTGATATTAAAAACTAGAATATGATTATATAATCAGCTCTTTTTATTAAAAATATTTTTTATACTTAAAGTTATATCAGATTCTCTTAATCATATACTAAGGCTGATGTGGTTGTAAGCTTAGAGGTGACGATAAAGCACATTGCTCCACCCTTGACCTTTTAAAATATTCAAAAAATAAAGTAAACGACATATCGTAATTTACTAAACTATAGCTACATATCTGAACAAGTTAGTTCTCTCATTTATTTAACATTACCACAAATTACCTAATTTGATTCTAATAAAACTACCATTTTTTAATTATACGATTTAGCCTATAATTTTTTATATAAACACAGGCTTTGCTAAAAATAGCAAAAAAATTTCCGTTTTTAAAACTTGACGTAAACAAATAATAATTATCTGGTTATTTTAATAAAATTTTTTCTAACTTACAATTTGGTGTTTTAACGGCAATGCAATAGCTGTAAATCTGTTTAGCATTACACAAACTGTTGCCAAGTTATCGGCAAGAAGTGAAAAGTTTACCAGGAAAATAAACACTGATAAAGTCCAGTCTGGATGTGGATTAGCAGAGAACCAATATGGAAACAAATTTGGAAGGCGAAAGCCGTAGTACGAGTCGAAGACATATACAAGGCCCTAAAATCGGCTCTCGTTTAGTTTATTTGACAAATCAAGCTTTATAAGTCTGTAAAGTTTGTGAGCCAGAAACAATCCTTCTAACATACCAAAACCAAAAGCATCACTGACAAAAACAATCTACTGTCAGCATGCTTGGACTATTAAATAATGAATGGACATATAAAACATAAGTTGACTATTATGCTAAACCAGGGGCCTTTTCTACCCTCTACAGATTCCTTGGCACAGGATCCACGGAAACGCAGAAAATTTACAGAAATAAAAATTCTGTGGTTTTGTGGTAGAATCTGCGGACACCACAGAATCTGTGGCTACAGAATTTCAGAGAAATAGAAAACTTTCAATGAATTTGAAATTTGATTATAGAAACAAAAAATAAAATTTACAAAAATTGCTCTAACACTGAAGAGTGTGTAAAATGAATTGTGAAGGGTTTTGTTACAAATAATTGTCCAAACCTCCAAAATATATACAATTACTGATGGTATGCTCAAACAAATTGAGAAATAAAGGAAAAAATCTTTCAGAGAAAACATTGAGTCTAGAAAAAATTAAATCTAGAATAAAATTAAATTGTAGAATAATATAAAATTAATTAAAAATTACAGAAATCATACAAAAGGGCGCTTGGCTAGTTAAAGCTCCCATAAAGTTTTATCTTGAATTTTATCTTGGTTTGAAATACATATGGGATTTCATAATTTACGTTTTTTGAGTTTGAATTTGCTTTAATAAGGATCCGATATATAAGGATATATAAAAATCAGGGCCGCATTTCACTTTTTATTCTTAGATTTCGCTCAGCCCTGATATCCGATAGCTGAAGATCTGATAGCCGAACAGAAAATTACGGACCTAATCCTCCAAATCTAGTCCCATGACAATAGGTCTCATGAACTTAAAACTTTATGTAACTCAAATCTATCATTTAACCCCCAAAATAAATCCACTACAAACTTTCTGACCATAAATATTTATGGAATGGATCCTTTTGTGTATCCATTTGAAGTTCGCTTTTTAAAATCTGTTTAGGCACACCCATGATAGACGTAGGAAAAAACCAAAAATATTTTCTAAATAATTTTAACGCGGCTATTTAATAAATTTTCTTAAAAAGAAATAAAATTATGCAAAGTTTCTATTTTTAACAAAAATTTGAAATAAAATAATTTAATAACGGAGGCGGAGATTATAAAATTAAATATAAAATTAATTATTTTTTATAAAATTAGTCGAAGCATTTTAATTTCTTAAAAAATAAATTAATATTTTATGGGGTGTGTTAGGAATTTAATTAAAAATTTTTTTAATTGTAAGTTATCGGATTGTTCTGAAATTTTTGTAGGTGATTAATAATAATATTGTGCACATATCCGAACGATTTTTTAAAAAAAATTTCGCCCGATCGATTTGTATCTGAATTTTCCAAAAATTAAATATTATAACCCCCCTTATTAAAATTTTTTTAAAATCTGAATTCAAGTAGTAGGAAAATATTTAAAAATCTTTTATTTTCACCAAAATTTAAATTTTATTGAAACAAAAGTTATTTGAAGAAAAAATTTTTTAAATTGTAATTATTAAAAATAAACTAAAAATAAATACATTTAATTTATTGTATTTGGAAAATGTTTAATAAAATTTAAATAACCATTATAGTCACGAAATAAATTTTTAATTTATTTTGTTTTCCGTTAATGTTAATCATTTAATTTTAAAAAACAATAAAATTTTTTATTCAAAAATTTGTATTTAAAAACATGAGAAATTTGAGATAAATTTGGTCGCTTAATGTTTTTATTGAAGCTTGCTGTATATGTAAATTTAAAGAAGTATGACGTCTATTGTATTTTGCAGCAAATTTTATGGAAATTTTTTAATACAGGGTGCGGAAAATAAACATAAACATAAACATAAACATAAACATAAACATAAACATAAACATAAACATAAACATAAACATAAACATAAACATAAACATAAACATAAACATAAACATAAACATAAACATAAACATAAACATAAACATAAACATAAACATAAACATAAACATAAACATAAACATAAACATAAACATAAACATAAACATAAACATAAACATAAACATAAACATAAACATAAACATAAACATAAACATAAACATAAACATAAACATAAACATAAACATAAACATAAACATAAACATAAACATAAACATAAACATAAACATAAACATAAACATAAACATAAACATAAACATAAACATAAACATAAACATAAACATAAACATAAACATAAACATAAACATAAACATAAACATAAACATAAACATAAACATAAACATAAACATAAACATAAACATAAACATAAACATAAACATAAACATAAACATAAACATAAACATAAACATAAACATAAACATAAACATAAACATAAACATAAACATAAACATAAACATAAACATAAACATAAACATAAACATAAACATAAACATAAACATAAACATAAACATAAACATAAACATAAACATAAACATAAACATAAACATAAACATAAACATAAACATAAACATAAACATAAACATAAACATAAACATAAACATAAACATAAACATAAACATAAACATAAACATAAACATAAACATAAACATAAACATAAACATAAACATAAACATAAACATAAACATAAACATAAACATAAACATAAACATAAACATAAACATAAACATAAACATAAACATAAACATAAACATAAACATAAACATAAACATAAACATAAACATAAACATAAACATAAACATAAACATAAACATAAACATAAACATAAACATAAACATAAACATAAACATAAACATAAACATAAACATAAACATAAACATAAACATAAACATAAACATAAACATAAACATAAACATAAACATAAACATAAACATAAACATAAACATAAACATAAACATAAACATAAACATAAACATAAACATAAACATAAACATAAACATAAACATAAACATAAACATAAACATAAACATAAACATAAACATAAACATAAACATAAACATAAACATAAACATAAACATAAACATAAACATAAACATAAACATAAACATAAACATAAACATAAACATAAACATAAACATAAACATAAACATAAACATAAACATAAACATAAACATAAACATAAACATAAACATAAACATAAACATAAACATAAACATAAACATAAACATAAACATAAACATAAACATAAACATAAACATAAACATAAACATAAACATAAACATAAACATATACATAAACATAAACATAAACATAAACATAAACATAAACATAAACATAAACATAAACATAAACATAAACATTAAAATAAAGCTTTTTTAAAAATACATTGGTAAAGACATTGGTAAGGTACCCTAGGGTCTACCTCCGCCCAGCGATCACGCAAATTTTAAAATATATTTTAAATAGAGGGTTATCTATAGTATCGGGTTCATCTTATAGAAAGGTAAGATATAAAAGACCATTATCTGTTACCTCATAACTTATAAATGGGTTTGATTTTGTTGTTTATTTAAATTTTTGGCTCATAGTTTATTAATCTTTAAAATATTCACTCTACCCTTAACTTTTTTAATTTAAATTATAAACAGGATTTGGAAGGATTTGACGTTTTTGATGCTAATGAGGAGGATTCGATCAAGGAAAACAAGCGTGGTGGTCAAAAGAAAACAGAAAATACAAAAAATGTTGATGCTTATAATACAGGTATTTGAATTTTGAATCAAAACCGGTTGAAAGAAAATCTGTGAAAATCAAGCCCGTCCATGATTTTAACTCTAATAATATTAAATAACTTTTTTAGATGGTTCTGAATTACACACAAAAGATCGTCAAGATAACGTAAAAACATATGTTGAACAAAACAAGGACAGTGAAAGTGTCAAAAACCTTAAAGGAGCCGGCGGCATGAAAATGAACTTTGGTGGAGACGGTGATGATCAGGGTAAGTAGATGAACAATTTTTTTTATTTTTAATCAAAAATTTCAGAATTTGAACTTCTCGGTGTAGGCGGTATTCAGGCAAACGAAAAAGATTCAATCAAAGAAAACAAGCGTGGCAATCAAGAAAAATCGGAAAATGCAAAGAATGTTGATATTTATAATCAAAGTAATGGCATAATATTAAATCTTAAGATCATTAGAGTAGAAAGAACGGGATATGATATTTAAGGGAGGGAGTAAGCAGTGGAAAATAATATAGTTCTTACATGCATAAGATAGTGTTGCGTGTAATTGAGAGAACTCACTAAGATTACATTTGATAGTTGTTTAGTGGCGAGATAGATGAGATGTAGTAGTAATATAGAGGAAATTAATAAAATGCCTAGACGAGAATGGGATCATGGTATTAGTTTATGATCAATGAGGATTTCCATAATACAAATCCAATAAGGATTTCAATAACATGAACATAATAATTATCTTTTAATTTCAATAATATTTCTATACAAATTTAGATGGTTCTGAATTACACACTAAAGACCGCAATGATGAAATTGATACAAATATCGAAGAAAATAAGGACAGTCAAAGCGTTAAACACATTAAAGGAGCCGGCGCTATTCAAATAAAACCTAAGAACAATAATGAAGATAGTATGTTAATAAAACCTCCAAGAAATTTTAAAATTTGTTTAGAAAAGCCTCAATACAAACTTGACGTTCCTCAATATCGCACACACCCTCCTAAAGTTCCTTCTGACGCACCTTCCTCTGATGAACCTTCTGCTCCTCCTGCAGGTCCACCTTCTGAAAATAATGAACCAAATCCTGAAGATCGTAAGGAAGTCTCTGATCATTAAAATTAAATAAATTTTAGAACCCGATTTGGTCCATGTTATCGGATTTGAAGGTAAAGAAGAAAGCTCCAAGAAGGAGAATAAAAAGTTGAATAAGAAGGAAAAAGAAAATGCTAAGAATGTTGATATATACAATAAAGGTATTTCTCAAGATTATTTTACCCCTAGAGTATTTCTAATTTTTAGATGGCTCTGAATTACACACTAAAGATCGTCATGATGAGATTAACACAAACTTTGAAGAAAATAGTGATAGTCATAGTGTTAAAAACCTGAGAGGAGCAAGCCTTACTAAAATGAACCTTCCTGATGGTAATGGGGGTGAAGGTAGTTTTAAATTGTTAATTTTTCTAGGGGTTAGATTTTTGTTATTATATCGAAGAGGACATTAAAGCAGACTTGGTATTGGGCATGGATTTTGTTATCCGTATCCGGATATATGTATACAGCGTATAAAACGGATAGAGTTAAAGCAATACCCAAGGTTAATGGGACGCAAGAATACATAACTAACAAGAGTGACTGTCTAAAATATAGCAAAGGAGTGACTAACACAGACCGTCTATAGCCTTATCACTTTATACTATACAAGGTACTTTACAAATATATTGTTTTCTTATTATTTCTGAAAATTACTTTCAAACCCACATTTTTTTTGTATTACAGAACCATGCGATGATGAGCCTTCTACTGATTCACCATCTGGTCCACCTTCCGGCAACGAAGAACCACGTCAGCATAATATTCCTCGAACTCCTCGTCCTACCCGTGGTCCTCGTGCTTCTCGCACTCCTCGTGTCCGTCAACCTGAGCAACAAAATCCTGTGCCAGATTGTTCAACAGATCAACCAGAAACTGCAACTCGCGGGTCTGGCAAAGAATGCACTTTGTTGCAAAAACTTGCAAAACGTCTCGGTAGAAATGTTTCATGTTAATTCAATGAGGAAGGCAGAAGTAATGGAAGAATAAATTTACAAAAATGGGATAAATAAAATTATATAATTAAATTAAATAACTATATCTAAAGTAACTTTATATTTTAATTTCGGATTTATTTTAAATAAAACTATGGGATAAATTTAGATCAAAGTTGGAGGATTAAGAAGTATTTAAAGGGGTTAAAACGTATGGCTGTACCTCCGCCCCCTGCCAGAAAACAACAAGCTTAAAAAGCTCTTTACAAAACGGCCAAATGAATAAAAACGCATAACCGCCCCCGAACAAAAATACTTAAAACAGCAGAAGACGGATTTTGTTGATTTTAATGTCATTTGAATCAGCTCGACGACACTTTTGAATTCAATTTTTTCACCCAAAAATCAGCTTACTCCCTCCTATAGTTTTTTGATTTTCGGGGGCCTGTATCTCTGCAAGTTTTCATCTCACGAAGAAAATTCTTGCATATTTGAACTCAGGTCAGCGAGACGAATCGAATGTTATATACTTCGAGTTCCGACTCGGTGGGCCTATGCTAAAGCGACCCTGGTGGGCCAGGAAATTTTTAAAAAATCTCTCAAATTCCCAGTCTTTCGGAGACGGCGACGGAGAACAAACCTAGTTGCTACAAATAAATCATTTAAAAGAAAGGAAAAAAAGTCAGCAGAAAAAGCCCGCAGAAATTGCACCCTCATCTTCAGTAGTGCCTAATCAAGTACATAAGCAATCTTGTTAAATTGCCGGTTTCCGCATCACAGCTAAGAAATTTTTTTTATTTTTATATAATTTAAATTTAATTTAATTTTTATTAATTTTTATTAATTGATTTAATTTTTTTAAATTCGTAGTTTGTACATTTAATATTTTTTGTAGTTTGTAAATTGCACTTAAAGACAAGACAATAGATGGGGGTTAGCGGGGAATTTAATAAAGGCATATACATCAACGGCAATTTTTGGCCGTCATATGAATCCCCAAAAATTGACAAAGGGCATTTAATGCCTCTCCGTAATGCCTCTCCGCTTCATTTTTAAATTAACGAGGGAATATTATAAACGAGAGGGCAATTTTTAAGAGGGGTGGAGAGAAATTTTTAAAGGATTTTTGACAGATTTCTTCATAGCATTTTAATGTGTAGGGGGGCATTTAAGAGTAATAAGTCGGTTTTTAAAGGCTGTTTGTTTAATTTAAAATTAAGCATTTTAAAATTTTTAAACACGGGAAATAAGGCGTGTTTTGCCCACAATGTCTCCTCATTCCCAAACTATGAGAAGACATCTCCTTCTTAGGAGACATCTCCTTCTAGACATCATCTTCTTCAATCTCCTTCTCTTACCTTGTTTTTAAATTTGACAAAAATACGTAAAGGCATTCACTTCTGGCATTTTATTTTCTAATTTTTAACTATTTTTATAAATAATTACCCTCAAATTATAATTTGAGGGTAATTTTGTTTCAAAATTTTAAATTTTTTAAATTTTTAGTTGAAATGTTAATTTCAATATTTCTACTTGTTTTTGCCAATTTTCAGACAGGTAAATTTTTAAATGTTAGGAACACTTCCTAGACTAATAAAAGCGAAAAAAATGTTTTTTAGGATTGTCCAAAACGGAAATAAATGGCGGTGATGTTTTGAAAATGGCACAATGCTACATGGATGCGTTTTACCAAAAACCTTCGATCCCTCGTAAATTAAAAAATATGTGAATGAATTATAGTCTTTAAATTTAAGGCGATGATGTTATTCCAATGGATGAAGCTATGAATCCACATTTGGCTTTTTCTGAAAACTTAAAACAATGCCTCACGAGCATTGAAGCTATAGTAAAGCAGCTGGGCTATAGCTATTTCTCTTTTTTAGCTAGTGCAAAAGGTTAATCGGCGGCTGGGAGCTAACCAGCATCTTCAGTAGACCGGACTGATGTGTTAGCCATTACACCACGCCGCCTACTGCACAGCCTTAGGAATTAAATAGCTATAGGCTTTACACTATTGTATTTAATTTTAATAGTCTGAACTAGGGTGGACAAAACCGTTTAATTTTGAAAAAACCGTATACCGTTTATGCCGTTTATCTGAGACCCGTATACCGTTCCGTTTAATTTTACCAAAAACCCGTTTACCGTATACCGTTTAGCTAAACGGTTTTGTCCAACCCTAGTCTGAACTTCGTAAAACTAATTTCAAAATTAAGGGAAAGCTGCGTGTTAGTTTATTTAAAAAATCATTTTTAAATAAATGGAACAATAAAAATCTTGAAAAACTGAAAATGGAATATGCTAGCGAATTTCAACAGTATGCCAAGCTTCCGAAGACTGAAGTAACTTTGAGAGAATGGATTAACGGGATGAATTTGGATAAAACAATTGGAATAATAAAAAAATGGCAGATTGATAATAAATTTAGAATGAAGAGTGAATTCGTTAAAGAGCGCGATGTCGAAACCTATGAAAAGGCAAATAAGGAAGAAGACAAGAAGCAAAAGAAAATAATGATAGACAACTACGTTAATCAGTATTCTAAAGAATTTGCTGCATGGGGAGTGTTAACAGAAGATAATATTAAAAAATTTAAAAATATTTATCTTAATGATATGGATGATCGATACAATAATTGGCGCCGCAAGCTAAGCCCCTATTCTTTGTTGCTGAATTCGGCCTATTTAAAGTTTGCCCAAATTCTAATTCAAAAACTTATGAAGGCGGTAATAATTCAATATAATCTAACTTCACTAAAGTTAAATTTCCCCAGCTAATAAGCGCGAGTATCCTTTTGAGATTCAAGGGTAACTTCCATCACATAGGGAGGATATCCTCACGTTAGTGAGAAAACTCACAATTTGGGAGGAATACCCCCATGATAGGGGAACAACCCTTAGTTTGAGACGAACAACCCTCACGTTGGAGTAATAACCTTCGCATTTTTCAGCCCTAAGTTGTATCTCATATAATGTTAGCATTTATAGGATGATCCTCCATATATGTGAGGATATCCTCCCTATGTGATGGAGGTCTATTACACTACTATTTATCAGTTAGTTAATAATAATTAAAAGTATTTTAAGAAGAAGAATATAAATGGAAATCGTAATTTAAATAGGATGTTGAAACACATCAGCACATTAATTTCCACAAACATTACAATTGTAAAATATTCTTTTTTGAGGAAACTAAGTGATTATGATTCTTTTGATTGGCCGTATAAACGTTTAGATAAAAGTCTGAAACTTGTTTCAATTAGTTCAGGAGGTATTTGAATTTGTTTTGCATATTAACTAAATCAGTGTAAGAAAGGTCCTGTTAATTTTTCCTTGTTGCTGCTCAAATAGAGAAGAATGACAGCATTCGAGCTGCTAAAATTTAAATTGTATCTCTCACACTAATAATACACTAATAACACTAATAATCTACTTATCCACCATTACTTAGAACCCCCCTCCCCCTTCTCTACCCTTAACTTAATATTTTACTCCATTTTTATACCCTTACCCTTAATTTCTACCCTTACTTTATTGCAATTGTTCAAGGATATAAGAGTTTACCCCCAAGTTCTATTACAATGCCCCAAGTTCTATTACAACGTTAAATATTATAAAAGTAAAATAACTAACACTTAGTCTTGGATTAACTATTAGGGCATTAATAATAACCAATACAGGGGCGACGACTATATATAACTAAGTGTTATTAGGTCCGATAAAATCTCAAATTAAAACTTTATATAATTTAGTTGTAAGTGTAGTTGAAGTTCCAGAATTTCCAACAGTAAAACGTGTTTATCAATTTATTCGCCATGGAGAGAGGCTTGATAACGGTAAAGATGTGAAAAAGAAAGTTAAAAATACCTCTGGTCAACAATACAAATATAAAGGAAGGATGTATAATTTTGACAATTCCCCTTTAAATGAACTGGGTGTAAAAAGAGCGATGATTCTAAACAAAGTGTAAGTTCTCTTTAAAATAATAGCGGGTCAGGTTTGAGAAATAAATTTAAGAAGGAAATGATAGAAGATTTTTATCATTTTTTGCCAAATTTAGATTTTTCTATGTGTTTATCAGTTGGGTGTGGTTTCGAAACAGTTCTTCATTTTCGAAACATGCACCCACATAATTTGGGATCGTAACATATTCTATTACGATCCTTCTATTCCTTGAAATTTCTGAAGGTTCTATCCAATTTTTAAAAATTTCGGAAAAACGATTATAATTTTTAGAAATTTAGATGAAATGTAAGGAACGGTCCCAAATCAAGAGGGCATAGGTCTCGAACATGTAGAACAGCTACTGACACAATCCCCAACTTTTAAACATAAATATCCAAATTTGTGGTTTCAGTCCCGAATTGGTCGGCCAAATTGAATTTGGACAAGAATATAATCCCATGAAAAAACTATAGGAGAAAATCAAGCTTGTTTGACAACTTTCCTCAAAACCTTATAAATTTCAAATTGAATTAATATAATTAAAATTGATAGGCTTAAAAATTTGAATATTCAACACTTTTTTGCCTCTCCGTATGACCGAACAATTCAAACAGCTTTGAATGCTTTGGGAGATAGTCACAAAAATTATAATGACGACGGCAAACTTGAATATGAATTGAAAATAAAGATTGAACCTGGGTTTATGGAAAGCATGATTGACTGTATCGACAGAGATATTGGATATCTTGACTTTGATGAATTGATTGAACATTACAAACGCTTAGATACTGACTACACACCAATTTTAAAGAGAAATGAATTATGTATCGTTTACCAAAAGGTATTTTGTGTAAGGATGATTCACCTAGCAGCAGTTAAAACGCTTAGGCGGGGGTTAAACGATCTAAAAAGAAAAAAGAGAAAGCATTAGTCAATGCCCCGGTAGCTCAGAGGTAGAGCTCCTGCATATAGTGAGCGAAAGCGCCTAGCAAAAACTAGCAGATGGTCGCTGGTTCGAATCCTGGACGGTGGCTAAACTTTTGCAAACTCTTTCTTTTGCTTTGCTAGAACAAACCG